CACTTGTCAACGATGTCACAAGAAGAGCATGGAAGGAAGTTAGAAGGAATATTGGTTGTTAGATCTATGAGTCAGGTGGTTACGAGTCTATAAGTAGTATAGGCAAGTACTGGAATAGGCATTCAGAGAAGTGGAAATCTAAGTCATTAGGAGAGGAGGCAACTCTCGAAACTTCCTTGTTAATTTCTCATTTGTTTCCCAGTCATCGAATCTTTTAGTTTTTAGTTCAATTCAATAAAATTCCTCTTAATTCCAATCCTGTGTGATTCGCTTTAGCAATTAGTCAGATTATATTTCATCTAGACAGTTCAATTTTGGTAGATTCTACATCAACCTTTCATGGTCACGTTTCCAAATCTTCTTCAGCACTGGAAACCCACTGATAAGTGTGTTTTTACACACTTATTTAGCTCACAAACATGACCTAAACGTGGACAAAGTAGTTGAATTGTGACTTAATCTTGTTAAATTCTTGCAATGTAGGTGTTCCTATGGAAAAGACGAAATTCAGAAGAAAAGAGCTGAAAAGGGACCAAAACGGAACAAAGTGATAGTTCGGGGACCAAAGGTGCAAATATTGGAAAATTGAGCTAAAGTGCAGAATTAGAATGAAAATATACCAAGTATGAGATTGAGGACGATACAAGACGATTGGAGGAAGAAAGAAGTAACATTGGACTGAATTGAAGAAAAGTGAAAGATGAAGGACTAAATTGCAATTAATCAAAAGATGAGCCGAGCAAATGATCAAGGAATTGATTGACCCAAACATCAATTAGGAGTCAATATGTGATAATGGAACAAAGGAAAGAAAGAAAAGGGATCAAGAAAAGAGAAAACGGAGTTCAGGGACCAAAATGACAAGGTTGTAACTTTACAACCTTGCGGCCGCATGTAACTATACATGGTGTTGCAGGGTTTTAATTGAGCAAAAAAATTGAACCATGCGGTCGCATGGTTTAACACCATGCGGCCACATGGCCTTAATTTCGAAAAAAAATCTAAACTTCCGTTTTTAATTGAAATTCTTTCGGGGCTCCATGAGGACATGATATAAAAGCCAAAATTCATCAGAAGTAGAGCAGAATATCCAGGGAGAAGAAGAACACAACTTTTGGAGGCAAGGAACACGAACTTGAAGCCGATTTCACAAGGATTCAAGTGGGTTTTCAAGGTTTTGTTCAAGATTTCAGATTTCAAGAACTTTCATACGGGTGTTATTCTTTCTATTTATTAATTTCATTTTTTTCTGTAATTATGAATCTTCTAGGCTAGGTTTTCAATTATTAGGTGATCGATGAACCGTTGTTTGTTATTTTAATTCTATATTTCATGAATTTAATATAAAGACTCGTTGGATAATTTGATTGATTTACATGCATTAATTTTCTTCCGCAATTAGTGGCCAATGATTGTGTGAGTGTTGATGACTTATTTCTTACATTCGAGAGAAGTGGAATAGGTTCGATAAGGTGTAAATCAACATAGGGTCCGATAGGGGATAGAGATATACCCCTATGCTTTATGCAATTCTTAAATTGTTCACAAAACTACATGCATTCTTGTATGTTTGCATCATCCATAGAGATATAGGTTGGTGGTGTGCAAGAATAGATCTAATATATATTGAGAGAGTATATTGGATAGAATTAGGAACATTGAATTGGCAAATTTTCATCGAATCATTAATTTTATGAAATTAGGGTTTTTATAACTTCAATTGGGGATTCGTGATCCTAGTGACTTTAGTTTGACTCATTTTAATAAATTAGCTTTTAAACTTGCTTAATTTCATTTACTTGAGTATTTAAGTCGTTTAATTAGAGAAATTTCGAAATTAGGGTTTCTAATTGAGAAATTAGGGTTTTCAATTGAAATTAGGGTTTTTAGTTGAAATTAGGGTTTTTAATTGAAATTAGGGCTTTTTGCATTTAGACCATATTTTCACTCAATTAGATTCGGTTAAGGCTAGATTATATAGAATTGAACTACTCAATCTATAAGGGACGATATTCGGACTTTTAAAAATCCACTTTATTACTTATTATGAACCGTACACTTGCGATAATTTTAAATCGAAAGAATTATTTCGTGAACACCCACCTCCACCTCTTCCACATCGACCTTCTCCAAATTTAAGTTAATTACAGCTAATGCTTTCTGATTGGATCACAGTAGATTGAGGGCTATATCGTCACCTTTCTTGCTCACAATTCAGTCCTCATTACAAATCACCAAGAAAGTCAGTATCAATGTTATCTTGTTAGCCGCTAACATCTCATCCTCATATATCTTCCTCATCCTCCATTGCTTTATATCACTACCATATCCATTGTTATACACAAGTTAATTCCAAAATCTAACATTAGTTTATGTAAGAAACATGAATTTATTTCTAGAAGCATATTTACAACCTCAAAGAATGTCAAAGAAGATATATCTTCCATCTAAAAATAATTAGAGACCAAGAAGCAACCTCAATCTCATTGTTTGTTGCAATCCATATTGTTCTTACACTTTCTACCAACTGACTATTTCACATTCATATATCGCAGCTTCAATCTGTTAAACCTTTCAGAAAACCCAATAACTGGTATATAAACAAGCAACCGTCTTTATCGCTTGATATAATAGCAAGAAACCATCTCTACCTTGCTTGGAAAAATATTATAAAACAAAATAAAGCAAAGGAATGAACTAAGATGGTGCATCCAGCAAAACATCATTAAATATAATTTTTTAATAATGTGTTAGTCTAGATAAGTGTACTACTGCGATTATGTAACCATAAAAAGGCATTACAGAAAAAATTGGAATAGCAATTGGTCAAATTAAATTCTTTGGTAGAAGTCTTGATCATACAGGAACCTTATATTTGATACATATGGCTGGCATAAATTGTATAACTAACCAATGCCAAGTCCTTTGGGTAACTAAGGCAAATGGGACAAATCTGAAATATACAAACAAAATTTACTCATGTTCATTATTAAAAAGTAAAACTTGTAGAACTAGAACCTCAATGGTAACAAACACAAGTGCTGAGATGGTTAAATAAATCTCTGAATTGGAATACAAAATTACCTGATTGTCCCAAGTAGAACTCGGAGCAGCACAACTTTTGTATGGGGATTTCTCTATCTTAAACTTTGCTGGGGTTGATGGGGGTGTTATCAATGTGCTTCATCTGTGACATTGCACTCTAAAATCTTGAAGATTTGAAGAACGCTCAGATGGAAAATCACCAGCACAAAAAAGAGTGCTTAGAGGGAGTAAATACTGGTCAAATAAATTTTCTAAATGTTGATGACTAATCAAAAACTGAAAGGCAATAGAAGTATGAAAAAACTTGGAACATTTACCCATTTAGGTGTAAGAATAGGCTTGCATGCAGGAAGTTCCTGTTGTGTAAACCTTGAATCTGAAAAATGCATTAAAAATAAATAAATAAATAAAATTTCTTAGCCCTTCCAGAATCACATAGATAAACTCCATATATTTTTGCTCTCAAAATACTGATGAATAGCCACCAATACAAAAAAATCGAAAAACCAATAGAAAGTTATACATTACCAATGCTGTAACTGGAAAACCGTCATATTTCATAATTAGAGGAACTACATCTTGACTAAGAGACTTAAATTCAAATTTATTTATTCTATTTCCAGAAACTTACAAGGCCTTGGCTTCTCCAATTGAGGGAAAACAAATAGCATAATCCAATAAACAATCTAATTATCATTCCAGTCAATTCATCTATACTCTTTACTTCTTACTTATTTCTTTTTTTCCCCTTTTTTCTTGTGAAATGAAATTGGTTAGAGACTTTTCCTTATTTCTAAAAATATTGTTTGCCATTGCCAATAATAACTTTCACTTATTTCTATCCAAAAAGATACAATTAAGAAATAAATCGAAATGTTAAGCCATAATATTAGAGTTTCCAATGGTGATGAGACATTTGATGTGCAACATATTCTTTTTGTTTCCTTTTATTCATCTCTCTATATATAGATGGTGCCTAAGGGATTGTCTTAAAACATATTTCCACAAGGCTTAAATTCTATACCAAATAGATCTGTTGAAGGAACATCTTTTTTTGGAAGGCTCAAACCTAGAACCTATATCTCTGAAAGACCTAAAAAACAGGCTCAAAAAATGAGTCTTCAACGGATCTATCAAATCCTTTGCTAATAACAATTTCAACACAAAATCCAGAACCTGAAGCAAGCAGAAAACTCAAACTCAGCTAAAAATGTGTAGAGCTTAAGAAATAACAAACCCCACCCACTCAGCATCTAAAACATAAAAACGTAAGAACCAAAACTGGTTTTCCATCTCCTCTTCTCTCCCTTTTTTTCTTTGCTGCTTGTGAAGGAATCGATTAGCTCTCGTCTAAAACAAGTAAAATAAATAAATTAAATTTTACCCCAAAAAAACTGTAGAATCTCCATTATTCAGAAAATAAAAATATTAAAGTCAAAACCAAGGAAAATTAATGAACAGTCTACCGTAATTAACTAGGAATTTTCAGATTGAAATCACCAAAAAAGAATTCATTCAAATAAAATTGATAAATAATTCTCTGTCTTGTTCAAAAATGCATCCTAACTGAATAAACCTTCATTAGTGACTCTATTGAAGCAAAACATCAATAATCAATCCAAGTGAATCATTCATCAATGCTTCAATATAACAAGAATTATCATTCACTAACTTATTTTTCACAATTTCTTCACTGAAATTGTAAAATTATATAATATGTAGCTAATCCTTAACACTGCCCACGTCACAATAGAACCCTAACTGCATATCGAATTCAACCCCCATAATTGAAAAGAAATTATTAATACCAACCTCCCAGGTTGCTCAAATCAATCCAAAAAATCCTATAAAACCAGTAAGATTTTAGCTAAATCAACATCTAATAGGTGAAATCTCAACGAGTTGAAATGAACATAATTATTCTTACCCTGGATTCTCTCAGTTTATTGGGTTTTATGGAACTTGAAAGCTTCAATCCTCACGTAAAATGCGAAGTGAAAGAGCACAGCCAATACCCACTATCCCCTCTCTCCAAAACCGACCCAAAATCAAGAAAATCCCTGGGTTCAATTATAAAGGGGAGCACCCAAAAAAAAAATAAGGAAATAATATTTACTAAAAGAATAGGAAATTGGGTTGGCGATTGGCACTGTGTAGAAGGTGGATGAGAGCAATGAATTAACTCAACTACTCAATAAGCAACTTGTAGACTTTGGAGTGGAGAATTGGAGATGGTGAAGCGCGAGAGAAAGAGAGACATGGTCATGTCCACAGCCCAGGGCAAGAACTAGGAAGGAATACCCAAGTTGTGAAATGGGAATTATCTAAGTTTGTGTTTAAGAATGTTGCGAAAAGACTTTTAGCAACAATCAGATATACGTTGCGAAAGATCACTTTTCGTAACTTTCACTGAACGTTGTAAAAGGGTATTTTAGCAACAGGCGTGGAATGTTGCAAAAAGTTAAACTTTTCACAACATTCAGTGAACGTTGCCAAAAGTGACATTGGCAACATTCATCTAAAGAATGTTGCTAAAGCTCAACAAAATTAACCAATCGCTATATTCACATATTAGAATGGTGCCAAAAACTCCTTTAGCAACATTCAATCAACAAATGTTGCTTTTTGAGTGTCACGAAAGAGCATTTTTGGTGTAGTGGCAACAAAAGATTGATAGTGTTCTTTCTCCATGTCTGAGGACCTAGAATTTTAGACTACTTAATAAATTCACTATGCCAATAAATATGGAAGGGATGCCATTTTCTCCTAAATATTGTAAAGGAGACGCATTTAGCACTTGAGAGACGAGGGTCGGTGTCTGGCGACTTTATGTGAAGTTTCGTTCTGGAAAGTTAAGTTTGCGTAAAATCTCATTTGAAGTACTGTGAGCTGGAGAATATGCTCTTGAAAATTATTTTCCAAGTTTGAAAACCAATATATGATCTTGCCTATTTATATACATTGATTTTGAATGAAAAAATCAATAGTAATTACAAACAAGAAAATTCATGAGGATTTCAGTTAAGATCTAATTGTTCATGATGTAAATCTCTTTTGATTTGCTATGATTAAGTCATTCTTCTATTGTTGATGTTACTCTCTTTCTATGCTAACTCAGTATTCACC